ATTTCGGCAAAACAGAAAAGGCTTAAAATAAATAAAATTTCCCTGGACAATGAAATATAGCACTAGTGTGCAATATTTAAAACTTCCCAAATCGAGAAATCGGAGAAAATAGTCAAACAAAGAGGGTTATAGATTTGCATTCCTGCAAACATTTTCCAATGTTTAGAGTAAAAGTGATAAATAAGCAATAAAGATTGTAAAGACTATTTCGTGTTGATTTAATGTAAAATCATGAAGAAAAGATTGAAAATTGAGTAAATCATTGGCAGTTACTTATGGGTTATGTGTTTAAAATTATCCATCAACAACAAGTCTAGCTGGGACTTGACAATCTCTTAAAAAAAAAAAATGAAATCGTGCCTGACGAAAACTGGCGTATATGAAAACAATAAAAAAGTTACAGTCAGAACTAACACCACTGATAACATGTTATTAATCAGTCTAGTACTAAAAGAAATGGACTTTGAAATAAATGGACTTTAAATGAAATTTTTTCAAGCAAATTAACAGCCTATGACATTTAGAAAACAAAAAGATAAAAAAATGTAATAAGTGAAAATTGCGCTTGTGAAATTCATAAAAATATTACAAAGGAGGGTAAACTATTCATGCATAAAGTTATGAACAAGTACAAAGTGTTGGAAAAAATAAGTGCCAAAATGAAAACGCATAAAAAGCATAATTACTCTATTTCAAATATGCTGTTTTTCTTCCAAAACGGCGATACAACAGTGGCTAATAATTATTATACCGAAAATGGAACTTATTGTACCAAAAAGTTGACACTTCACTTGTTATTTTTATACTTACTTGATAATGAAAAACCATTTATTTCATTATTTATCTAATAATAAAAGCAGGAAGTGAACCATCAAGCATTTTAGAGATGAATGAAAACATTCTTATTCTCAAATAATATCTCAATATCTCAAAAGCCTTCTCAAGCAATGATTGCAACATAAAACTTCTGGAAACGATCAACTGGAATTTTTGAGATCTCAACCCGACTTGAACAAACTTAAACAAACTGCCAGTGAAAACTTACTTATTTCCCATCTCCTGAAAGTCTTCATTTATTTAATTAGTCAGTACAATTAGTCGTAAGACACAACTGTTGGGACAGCAATGAAAATAACTTTACAAGCTCATGAATAATAACTCGTCAAAATGCTTATATGACCTTAAAGTTATCTCCAAGATTTCAAACAATCCAAAACGGGAGTCTACTTCAAAAGAAATTATGTCCAGTTCAGACAATCTATAAACAACTAATGATATGTGTTGAAGTTATAATCATCGGAACTCAATTTTCTGCAGGCTTAAATCACCTTTCACATTGATACTTTCGACGTGAGTCAGTTTGGAAAATCTTCGATAATTAAAATTACCGAAATGATTGTTGTTGATTTCAATCTGAAACATAATATTTAAAACTTGATATCAAGAAGTCACTAATGATTACCAAGGGTCATTATGTCAACAAAACGAAAAATACTTATTTAAAGTTGTCCATAACGTTAAACACGCAGGATTACTTATTCGTGTAGAATTAAGAGTGTGCTATCAAACAGATAAATGCGCATGAAGTAATACTGGTATGTATATTATGAAAATGTTTTATAGCATCCAGTATGCACCAATTCTAATTTTCAACAGAAGTTTCTTTATCAAATACCTCACCCCTCGTTCCAGGTATGCTAAAAAAAATCCTACTGTCTTGGATTACGATAAATGAAATATAAAATAGGATGCATGAAATATAAAATAGAATTACTAACTGAAACGAGGTCATTCATTAACAAAAGGTATTGGTCATCATTAATTCCATGTAAACAAGAAAAGAAAAGAATTCAAAGTGAATCATAAGTAATATTCACCAGTGTTTTTTCGAACCAATAAATTTAATTCAACTATAAGAACGTTACAAACTTACAGAAATGTGCTCTTTCTCAAAAGAAAACATGATATCGAAGGTAATTCCCCGTCGAAAAGGGAAGAAGCACATTTCACGTTCTTCTTTTTGCCATTCTCCGAACTCTGTACTATTTCGCACCACTGCTTCCTGCTTAAGGGATGGACAAAATAATTTTAGCAGCTAGAATTTTGAATAAAATCATAACAAACTAAACATAAGAATAAAATATACTTTTAAGACTTCTGGTATTCGAAAGGTACCAAACGATAGTTTTGACTATAGGTAAAACAACGTGATACTTTATCAGGCCATTCTTAATGTGTAGTTAGAATAAGCAAAGCAGAGAATGACACTATTAATAATTTTCAAGTAGATCCAAAAAGTCCGGTATTATTCTCAGCAGTTTTCAGAGTATGCAAAAATATACTCAAATAAACCTTTTCGTTTCCCAATGAAAAATTTGCTCGGAAATGGAAGAAATGTTCCATCGGTGTCAAAAAGTTGATGGTGAAGCACTCAGCATTCATTAGCGGAGTACCGGTAACTAATACCTTTTTTCCGGGTGATAATCCCTCCTCCAAACGCATTTCGAAAGGAATTTTCTGAAATTTGCTACATTAGATGATAACCAATTCTACAGCAAAAATTTGAAACAGCGATAGCTTAGAAATAAAGAAAGGAAGTGGAGGCCAAAAAGTCCTGACCGTTAAGCCCTAGTCGTCATTTCAGAACACAAAGGGTGATTCCATCTTACATTTCGTATTACAAATCACAAAGGTAAGGAATTGTAAGCTAACAGGCTTGCGGATGATATCGCTGACCGTAAGTTTGCCAACTTCGTCAATTATTGCCATTTCCTTGGGAGTTGTACTATTCTGTAAATCGAAAATTGATTAAAATTAATGCAGAAAAGAAATGCGCAAAAGGAGTGTAAAATATCCTTTACTAAATATAAAACGATAAACTTGGAAAAATCAACTAAAATAATAAACTAATGAAAAAGGAGTTGCTTCTCAGTAGACAGAGCTATCGAAGTGTTAGTTTTAAAAAATTAAGGCTATCATCTGAAATTCACTAACAAAAATGGATTAAAAAAAAGGAGATGACGACAAAAACGAACAAAACAACAACAGAAAAAAAGTGAACAAAAGAAATGAAGCATATTGTAAAGAACTATAAAAATGTATTTACAGTCTTAAAATGGGTTGAGGACAGAAGGTAGATAAATAAACAGCAAAAATCAAAGCTCTATTGACACTTTTCCCAGTATAAAATGCATTCAAATCTTTTTGAAACATTCTGAAACTTTTACGAATATTACTTTAATTTATTATGCTTGACTCGGGAAGTACGATTCCTTAAGCAAATATAAATGGCTACTTTATTTATTCCTCAAAAATCCAGACTAACTAGAACCTCCTTTACAATGTGCAAGAATGAGTAGCAAAACCTGTCTGATTTGAAAAGAACCTATGTACTATGAAACGAAATAAATTACATAATGAAAGATTAACTGCGATAAAACATACACATCCATTCAAAGACGCATGCAATTCAGGTACACTCGAAAGTAATGTCTAGTCGAAGATTTCCCACAGTGAACGTTTCATACGTTTAAACCAGAGGAAGAAAACCAAGCACACTCAAATTTGATGTAAAAGCAAAACAAAATGAAAAATTTTGAAACTAAAAGAAACATTTACATTGATGCCCTCATATTCAATGGTACTGATTCGGACATTGCCTCCAATATATATTGTCCTAATATTAGTAATCGGTATTCGATGTAAATAGTCACATAAATGACGACCATCGACAGCAATCTAAATATCATTCATAACATGAACTCTGTTTCAGCAGCATAAATGTTGTTTTAGCTGTCTATTTCAAGCTGATCTCAACCTTGATCATTACCAAATTCGTCCAAAAAGTTCCGGACTAAGAAAATGAAACAAGGACCAGGAAATTCAAATTGTGAGAAGTTAAGACACAAGGTCAACATACGCTGAAATAATTAGCGAGCACCAAGATGCGCATTGAAAATTCATTTCCTTCTCTGAAAACATTTGCATAACGCTCCTCCATACCCCACCGGTTGCCAATCAACGAATTTAATACAATTTGTCGATCAGGTGGAGGACGAAACCTGTGTAGCCTTTATGACATGTTTATCCCTGTTTTTCAACATTTCTTTCCTTTTCGTTTGCTCCATGTATCACAACAACCTTTCCAAGTTACGCGGACCAGAGAAGAATTTTCAGATTTCCCAATAATTCCAAGCATAGTAATACTTTAATGGTAGCTTCAAGTTACAAAAATCAATAAGAAACTTTTTTCTATAAAAAACAGATTAATGTGAAAATTTCCTCCACCTTTTTTCCTTTATCGATTTTATTCATTGTCACATGCACTATTTTCAATCTGCATGGTAGTGATTGAATGACATCGTATTTTTGACTAGATACACAAAATACTATAACAAACCATGAGCTACCGGTATCGAATCGGGGATTGAAATGCAAAGCTTTGTCATCCTGATGATCACCTTGAATGAGCAAACCACAACAAAATTCTACGACGAAACGTTTCTCGTGTGAATCACGCAGAACGGCTCCCCTGATAACAATACTTCGACTTGGATACAACCCATCCGGAATCACCTCCATATATGGTATCACCTGTAGCTTCACATAAGCCATTGACGTTTTTATTCAATTTAGACTTGACGAGAGATCATTACATGTTAAGGTGATTGATTAATTTGAGTTTGAATGAAACCTTTTGTTGTTTGAATATATAATATGAATGAGGTGGAACCTACCGGATCAGCCACGACAACGGTTGATTTCAGTCGTGTTGACGATGCCATCTTGTAAGGTATCTTGCTGATTCTGAACCTTATTGACTGGCAACAAAATCCAACCACCAACTCTGATAATAAAAACAGCACTCATAACAAACCATGTACAACTATTCAGCACTCTCGGGAGTTGTCAGGTTTAACGGACCGTCAAAGTGTTCTGTGATTTTTAACGCAGCAGAAAGTTTAATTCCATTTGGATTGAATTGTTGGGATATCAAAGGGTGGTATGTATCTTTGAACTGTTAGTTGTGCCTTCTTCTTCTGAGCATTGCACCACTAAATTCTGAAGATTGGATAATATTTGTAGTTCGAAAGATTATTTGTAGTGGATATTGAAGGCGTATAATACATGCAACAAATAATATAATATCAGTTGTTCTAGAAAGCAAAAAAGTGTGGTTGCACTCTTCCATCCACTTCAGATGGAATTTCCAGATGGCCAGGAATATCAGGTTGATGTTAGGACGATTACTGCAAGCAGTTCAGCCGAGTTACAGCCACACCTATCGCTGTCTAAGTCTCTCTCCTAATCATCCCAAGAGCATCAAGGAAGTGTCTCGTGTTGGTGAGTGCGTACGGATTTTAGAATTGCTTCATAGAAGGGCCTTGTTTTCCACTATCGTCATCATTAACTATATTCCTTTCCATAATTCTAACAAAAGAAGTTTATCGTTATTCTTTGACTCCAGTCAATGACAGAAAGTTTTCCAGGAAATGAAATGCGTAAAGTAGCCAGGAAATTTAGTTTCCTTACTAATTTAGGATACAACTTTTCAAACTTCTTTCAATTTTTTCAGCCCATTTATCTCAGCTGTGCAACTTGTTGTCTTTCTTTGTTGTCTGCTGATATCTCAGTTATTCTCTTTTTCAAGGGAAAAGAAGCATTTTTTTAATATTTACAGGCATTGACAAAAAAGAAATGGAAAGACCTTTAACGGAAGGTACTGTGGGTGGTTCGGGATGGGTCCCAGTCAGTTTGTTGAATTTTTATAATCGTTTACCGACAGTGGAAATATTTAAACAACATTTCGATGGTATACCTTTCGAGGAGCTCCCAATTGTGCATGTCAAAGCATCAAGGAACAACACACTGATTACTGTCACTGATCACAAAGTACACGTTCAGAACTGATTTTTGTTAAGTTTTATCACAGTTTAACCAGTCATATCGCTGCTATTGGTTCTCGATTTAGTTGGTTCAATTTTCGGTTATACTTTATCTGTGCTGATTTTGAAATATATTGCTAAAAATAATTATATTTGATTTGAATGCTACCTAGTTTTTACCTGACATTTTACTTAATTTTAAGTTCGCTTAATTTTAAAGTCCCTCCAAGCTTAAATCATTTTTGCATGTGTTACTTCTGTAAATCAGATTCCATAAGCGGCTGTAATTGCAGTATAATATTATAACCTACACTTCTTGTCGTTTGGAAGGATTCAAAAATGCGCGGAAAAAGACCAACATTGCTGGCCAAACAACGGGTGTCGCAGCTGGACAACGACTTATTAGGCGAGGGATTCGAACAGTTCGCGTGCTGGTTCGTTCCATCTTTTTTTAATGACTAGAGCTGTTGGCCTCTGTCCATGTTTCAAACTAGTATTCTTTCGAAGACTGAGAAATTTCAAGTTGATTTGTAAGAGACTCCTCATTTGCATGTGAACTATCCACTATGTGAGTTCTGAACAACAATTTCCAGATCCGAGGACTTGGGCCAGGACGAATGACTTCCATACAAGGTATGGCCACTGCTGGTGTTAAAATTGTTTCTATAACCGAACAATCAGCGCTTCCTGAGCTTGGACCAAGACCAAAGAAAATCCCTAGAATCTAAATACATCTTTTTTTCGTGCATGATTTCATGAATATGGTTATAATTTCCTGTCGTAGTACTTCGATAAATATAGGGAACACGTTCATACACAAAGAATTTGCAATATTTCAAAGTAATTTAAGGATTGAAATAAATATTTTTTTTGGCACTATTTTTAGATAAGAAGTCGGTTTCCATCAGTTTAAGTAGTTTGTTGGCAATGGAAAAATGACAAGTAGTTTATTTATCATTGGAATGTTATCACTGCATTTGGGCAGAAGTATATATCTATATGCTTCACAGAATTTGCACTTCTTTTAAAGCTTCGGTTCAAGTTGTAAATATTGCTGCCAGTGCTAAAGGTGGGTGATAGCTTTAAAATATAACTGTGTTATCATACAGGTCGAACACTAGCTAACCAAAAAAAGTTCAACTTGGTCAAGTTAATCTAGATCGTTCGGAGGGTGATTAGCATTATCAGATGCAACTACAAATATTAGAATATTAATCTACATTAAGTTCAACTACTTTTAGTTTGATGGTGCTTATAACCACGATTAACAAACGTTTTATCAACGGTGGAACTTATCGCAGTGTGTATGTCCAATATTTAATCTTGACAGTCTGCTTGTTCATTCATCAACTGATCTTTATATTGATTTTGCACTGACGTTTTTCCGTTTGACATCCTTCAGTTAAAGATCCAGTCAATGTTTTCATGCCTCTACCATTTCCTAGCGGATTCCTACGAATTGTTTTCTTGAAGCATTGTTTGATATGTTAGGGAAAGTTTTAATATTGAATGCGGTTAGGATTTACTTGATCCCAAAGTTCATACATGCGCTTTTGATAGCAGTAAAAGACGAGTTAATGTGCTCTTCAATTTTTAATCTATATATCCAAAAACTTCCCATATGTGTTCACTTTTTCTCAAATTTCCCATTTTTATCATTTGGAAAGAAATTATTTGATTGGTTTTAAAGGGTGTTTTGTATAGGAATTTCAAATTTCTGAAATACATACAGGATGATTTTTAGAAATATAGCGGGAACCTAATTCGTTCCATAGAAGCTTGAGAGGCTTGAGGTTCTTCAGCAAATTTGATTTCCAAGGGATGACTGTCGTCATCATTATTACCGTCATTCTCGTCGTCTTCATCCACATATCCTTCTTCATCACCTTCATCAATCACATCGTGCCCTTTAGGTACCAGACTCACCCTTAATTTGAATGTTTTCCTGCATGTTTTGAAGTTAGCTGCCGCCTAGTTATGATGCTCTAAATTCGTGAAATTATATACAAGCTTGTTTACCTGGATCTAAAATGGACGGCAGGTGAATTGAACATATTAACAGCCCTCCCCAAAAGAATTCGGTCCTCCATCTCTTCAGTTGTTTCAATATCATGCATTGATGGCGTTATTTTAATTCCATTTAGGTTGATATGATTCGAAAATATGTTCTGCATATGATGTATTATTTTTTTAACAATATTCCATGAAAAATTCCAGTTGGGAGAGTTAGATCGATGTCATATCGTCTTTTTTTGGGAATTACTCGCGAAAGATATTCCAACATTTTACTACATTTTGCTAAGAACATTTGCTAAATTCCACTAAACATATGCTGATGCTAGGCTTTTGAAATAGACTAATACTAAATTTTCAAACAATGCTTACTTGAATGAGGGAAGTTGACGGTGAATTTGGCAATAAGGAGGATATCCTGGGGTAATTACCTAGTAATTTTGAATGAACAGACTGAAAATAAATATAAAAATGCAATGAGGGCCGCAGCATAGCACAATGTCAGAGCTCAAATATACTTTAGAAGCGGTTGGTTATACTGTATGTGTTTGAGAGAAAAACAATCTATCTGCTTGTTCAGCCAATAAATCCATCAATCCAGTGATAACATGTTTTCTGCTAAGAATTTCGTTGTAGTACGATCATTCTACGGTATCTTTACTATACCTATTCACTATCAGTTCCACATACCTGACTACCATCATCGCTGTTATCCGAAACATTGCTATCATCTCGAACAAGCTCAGTCAGTACCAGAATATCTCCTTCTTCGGTATCCACCAGCTTCATCACATCATCGACCGATAAATTCCTCGGCAGAAACTTAACCTACAATAAAATCCCAATTTTTTCTCGCGAAATTAGAAATAGAAAAGAAGTGAAAATTCATTATCAGTATTAAAGTGTTGTTTCATATTAAATGAAGTGATGACTGTTAATTGCTAACTCTGAGTTGCATTTAAAATTTTTTCAGTTAAATATAAAAAGACTTACTCCCACATTATGGATATCTCTACAGATGTTTAAATTTCGGCGAGGGCTGGGAAATGACAGCATCGTTTGTGATGATTTATTAAATTTTTTCTTATTAACTGAAATACGCAGAAGGGAATCACCAGGCAATGATCGCATACTGCCATTGATAATACTGTTTTCATTGGCGGAATCAGAACGTTTCCTGTCGCAACTGAAATTTCTTCAAGATTATTTGATTATGTGACGAGAATATAGTTAAGTGACCGACCGAAAAAAAGCATAAAGATGACAGGAGATGTAAAGTGTCGTGTGTTTTTTAGTGAAGCACTCAGAGAAAGATTTCAAGTCTGATTATTTTTGCCTACCTCTGGTTTATATTTCCAAAAGAAAGATCAGCTGAATTTAAGCTTAAATTATCCAGTTGCCCAACTTCGTACGTTCGAGCCATTTCGGACTGAAAATAATTTTCTAAAATGAAGTTTGATTTTTCCTGTTTGAGGAGTTAGTATTAAAAATTGTGAAATATTAATTGACAAACGAATGCATGGCTTGCTTGTCCTACATTAAAAGCGTCGCAATTTATTGAAATTCATTTCATGCTAGTCGAAATATAAATTATAACTTCCAAGAATGTTTGGGATTAATTATAAGTTTTAACGGAAGACTTTAACTTTGTAGTAAGTGACTGAACCACTTACTTGTATCAAATTAATACACATAGAAACTAACGAAAGGCCAACAATGATATAAATGAATAGCATGAGCAAATATTTTGGCTGCGTCGGGGTGATATCACCGAGGCCAATTGTGCTGCAATTGAAACTGCTTGCAAAGAAAGTGAATTCTTTCAAAGACAGAAATAAACAAGCAAACATTCTATGACGACCAGATATCCCAAATTCGGGATGTGATTCTAGATGAACCTGGCCCAGGAGCGAATAGGACATTTTCTGTCTGATAAGACCTTCCTGAATGTTGTTCTTCTATTTACAGCTTCAAATAAATTTATTGAATTCGTTGAGTAAACAAATAAATATATTCTCTGACGATCAGATATTCCAATAAACAGTCATATAAGTTTGTAGAAATTGAGGTGAAGCGAATTAATTAAACTAACTTTACCCCTAATATCCATTCTGCAACAATCTAGATATTCTTTTACAATTTATTCATTCTTTTAGAAATAATTGGATGCAGTTGTTGTAAATTTCAAAAGGTTAGATTTAAATTTCATTTCTCAACAAAAAGGCTATAACCAACAAGACTATAACAAAATTCATATCTTCATTCTGATTAATTCAATTTCGGGTTTAGTGATTGGCATTGATGTCCAAATGACAGAAGTAATTTACACGGTGGCCTAAAACTTAATTTGAATCTTAATTTCTGATCTGACATTGGGCAATACAACGCATATTCAGACATTTCTAGGTCAGAAGGAAAGGAAAAGGTAAAAAAGGTTTCATGGTGAATCGTTTTAACAAATTAACTGTGTAAGCTTTTTTTGAGGTCTTATTTCGATCAATGCTCAATATAATTTCAGTTAGTTATGTCTTTTAATTGCAAACAAAAAAAAAATTGAAAAAAATTTGATTGCAAAAAAAATGTGAAAATTGCTGATTCTAAAAAAAAGCAATACAAAATTCATATTTGAATACAAGTAAAAGTGACGTACTTCCGGAATGTTCTTGAAGTAAGGTGCTAACAAAGAATGATATGATTTTGATTACGTTATGATATAATGCTTCGCTTGAAATGTATATTTTTTTTTTCCAATAGTTAATTGAATTATAAGTGTTCAACCAATAAATGACTTAACATAATACCTTAAAGATATGAAGAAGAAGTAAAAGGCAACAAAATAATCCCAGTCTTTTTCCCAAAGACAAAATGTCGCAGAACAAATAAATATCCATGCAATAACAACAGATATTGCTATCGGTATTGGTAAATCAAAGATTTCGAGATCTAAAAGAAGTCCTTTGTTTATTTTTTATCTCGGGGAAATTGTTGACCAATAGGACAATACAGTACAGAACTTTCATTCACATATCTGGTCAATTTTATACTTTTCAATTAAAATCTTGATAACTTTGAACTTCTGTTTACAGTAGTGGAGTAAAAATTCAGCGAGGTTGTTAAGGAGAATATCATTTGGGATGATTTGATGATTTTAGTGAAAATTCCAAGTAAATTTTATCATATACTTTAGTTACCGTACTACTGTTGAAAGAATCTGACCTTTAACATTCACTGATCTGAGAGCGATTAGCTAATTTGAAAACTAAGACGAAGTTTCATTTTTTGAGACTCAATGTTCAATATAATTTCAGTTAGTTATGTCTTTTAATTGCAAACAAAAAAAAATTGAAAAAAATTTGATTGCAAAAAAAATGTGAAAATTGCTGATTCTAAAAAAAAGCAATACAAAATTCATATTTGAATACATACTAAAGCAAAACACTGGGTCGATAATTCGCTTGGGAAGATTTATTGGCTAAAGAGGGATACATCCATGAGGCCTTTTTGCGCATCAAAATACTGCTTTAACTGCTATATTTCTTTGTAACTCATATTATTGACTACTGGGAATGAAGTCTTCTGAGATTTAAAATTTTTAGCTAAGAGTGTAGAATTGAAAAAAAGTTTGACAAATTGCTGGTCTTGACAGATGAAAATGTCACGATGAAGTGAGTGATCGTTCACATTTGCGCGGTAAAGGTTTTGACACGTACTTTTACTACTTATGAGTGAAAAGATGAAAACTTTTCACTTCTTCCTAATATGATTTTCTTATTTATATTATTATTAAATGAGTCAAAAAATGGAGTTGAAAGACCTCTTTTATCTTCTGCATCTAGCTCCCGAATTTCGGCCATTGTCTGCTTGGTGCAATAGCGGAACAAACGGCGACATCCACATTTAGTGAGGTACCAGGGAGTTTTAAGACACTTCGTCAATAGTTTACCTGAAATTGCATATTTTTCCGGCAAATTTCATACGACTCTTCTCTTTCATAAATTTTGACATATAATATGGATATTGTATCCAATTTATTTGAATTTATTTCATTCAAGTATATCAATTTTATTTGATTATTTGGTGTCAAAATATGCAGAACAAATGCGCCATTTCATCTGACTTCGCTCTTAAGGTTTTTTTAGCAGACATTTTAATAAATTTAATTAATAGGTTATTCCCATACTTCCGTTTTTTAATTATTGCACAATATCATTGAGTAAATTCCTGATATATTCTTGATATAAATACTTATATACAAATGATCGTTAATTTTGATCTGAAATAATTTGTCAAAAATATTATTCCCTGATTCTTCCAGAAAGTCTTGAGATATTCAAGCATGTCCTACCATTACAAAGGAATAGAAGGAGCAAATTATTTATTAAAAAATGTGAAGTTGGATTTTTAGGGAACTGCATAAATGGACAATAGTAGGATGACAAAGTGGAAAATATCTACTCTCAATATCATTGGCCTGTCAAGTTGCAGTTCAAATTCCTTTTTATTCTCTATTTCAATTCAGTCTTAACTATTTACGTTAAATTTTCTATAAATCACGTCTTTGCTATTGCAATTTAAAAAAATGTTATTGCAATCTGTGCGTCATTTGTGAAATTTGTTGAGTGATTTTTGGAGACATAACTATTGTTTGATATCGACTACTAACAATAACATTTCTTTTTTTGTTTTGTGATGAGACGCATTTTCACACATGGGAATTGAGGAAAATCTATCCATCCTTGTAATACTAATGGTCCTGTGACAATTGCATATTTAAGGCGGTTATAACAAAAGTAATCTATCATGCCCCGCCAAGCAGTCCGCTATTGGTACTTAACATTTCAGGATAACATTTTTGGCGAAACTGTCACAAATACACACATAACACACACAAACACACACACACACACATACACACACACACATACACATACACACACACACACACACATACCATAATCTCAGAGATTTTTAAAAATTAAGGGTACTTCATTTGCAGTAAATATCTTATCCAAAGATATTAGAAGTAAAACTCCAACTTCCCTGGGTCGATGGTACTTAGGAGGTAATTAATTCTTTTGTTTTGTTCTTATGAAAATCAATAATCTTCTAGGGGTGGCTGAGTAATTCTATTTCATTTTATTTATTCGAACAAACAGAAAAGACAGAAATAATATTTGGTGGTTTTAGTTTTCCCCATTTTAAATACCTTAATTTGTTATTTCTCTCTGTACAATTAATGGAAAAAAGATTTTAGTCAATGCCTGGAGGATTTCTATTTTTCAGGCATCAATTTCACTCCAAATAGAAAATGTCAAAAATGATATTTCTAATTAAAACTTTTGTAAAACATTGAAAAGTTTTTGACCTTTAAAGGGTTTCAAAAAGTAAAAAGCAAGAATAATCGGTGAGAATGGATGAAGAAAGTTTTCAGAAATTTTTTTTTCTAGAAAATCCTTTTTTTTAGAAATTGAAGTTAATTTTCAGAATTGAAGTCAAGAAAAAGGTCAAATATATTTCCCTTTTTTTTTCCCTACTCTTAAGAAAAAGGCTGAGAAACTATTTACGGTTATTCTCATAGGCTAGTTTGTGACGTTCAAATTGCAAGCTACAACAAGCCCTTAAAAAAGTTCTGCTATTTCCAGGCCAATAAGTCTATTTGAGGGAATGTTGACTGTTTCAACTGGTCCAAAGTCTGATTGTGAAAGAGATCAAACTAGTGGATATAACTTGGAAAGATGACAACTTTGTGCCGTTGTACAGAAATGGATAATATTCGTGTCAAATATATAGCGCGCTTTTCTAATGGAAAAAAAAGAATGAGTAGCTAATAGCAAGTGATTGTCAGAAATCATTTCCTGAGGGTTTCAACTTACTATTGGTCGATGATCTTCGACTAAACAGCTCAAAAGGGTTGTCTGACAAATTTTATATGTTAATACCTTATATGGTAATATATGGTAATATATGGGCATATAAAAATTTATATGCTAATACCGTAAACAGCAATGCTGGATAGTTTCCATCTTCCATCCACTTATCCAATGTGGTGGTAACTGAAGTTTTCAATACCATACTTTCAGTCAGCTAACTATCACGTTACTTTTAAGTAAAAAAAATGAACCGAGATCATCAAGTATACTGAGGACGAGTGGAATACCAACAATCGCATAAAGCATTGTAAAAATACGACCAGCTGTTGTAGATGGATAAAGATGTCCGTAACCGATTGTTGTACAGATTGTCTGAAAATTGTGAAACTTCAGTAAGCCTACTCATTTTTTTTACTTTAAATACTTTATTTACTATAATAAAGCAATATTTCATTTATATATATATATATATATATATATATATATTAATATTCTTT